TCTAATCCAAAATTGACGAGTATTTCTTTAAATTTTGCTCTTTCGAAAGCGAAAAGTCAATGTTATTATCGTTTTCTTTATTTGTATTCGGCAGAAATAGTAAATGGTTGCAATGCGAAACAAACAACAGCTATAAAGTATTGTAAAAGCGAACAAATAAAGGCGACAATGTTAAAACATACACGTCAAAACCGATTTTGTACCGAAGCGTACCGGATTAGCCTGTTTACACTGGTCCGGCACATACCGGATTACTTTTCATATCACCTCCAAAGCGGAGTGATTTTTATGCCGTGTCGCGTACCGGATTACTGCGGCGTAGTGTAAACAGCAGCCGAATCCGGTATGAAAATCGCGACGCTCCGATGCAATCCGGTATAGTGTAAACGGGGCCTAAATATTAAAAAAAAATGCTATTTACAAAAGCCCCAAAAAGTATGAGAAATTTTCCCGCTTCCGTTCCGCATCGTGGCAACGGGTGTTGTTTAGCTTATATAACGTCACTTTATTTCAGAATTTTTGTCGATGCAAGTTCATTTTTTACAATGATAAACTATATCCAGCGAGGAAGTTCGCAAAAATATGTATATAATAATATAAAACACTTGTGGGATTTTTAAAGATGATTTTTCAAGGGATTTTATAGGATTTTTCAATTGATAAGAATTGCAACTGTCGCTCGCGTTTGACCGAAACTCTCGTTGACTTTCATAAATTCTCGTCAACTTTCAGCTTGGGCTTAATTTCGTTGAGAGTTAAAGAGAGTGTTTGCAAGTTTGCCACTGATTATATTTACTCAACTCTAGTCAACTCTCACGCAACTTTTGTTCTTGTTTAACCAATCTACTCCCATCAACTCATTTCCTTGTATATACCGGGACTTAACTTTCAGAATTTTGACCGGTTATCTATATTAGCAAATATGCAGACCTCAATGAAAATCGTTAAAAAAAATTATTTGTATGTATAATATATTTGTACCTGAGGCATCTTAATAACCTCTTTAATTTAAAAACTACTGGGATCTCGACAAGCGTTGGCTAATTACTCCATTCTTCATATGAACACAATAAAAATTGTTTTTATTATAGTAAAATATTTGCAATGAGCAAATAAGGTTTAAAATTAAAAACTAAAACCCCGGTCAAACTAGGATGATTTTTAATGAGAGAGATGAGCGTTCCAAATTTCCCTCGCATTTGACCGCCAATTCTCATCAACTTTGCGCTGGTTCAAAATTTGATAAATTTGATGAGAGAGTTTTTGCCCGTTTACTATCGTAATATCCTGTCAGCTCTTACTAACACTCGTGCAACTCTTGATCTCGTTTGACCGAGGCATAAGACTTGACAAAACTAGCATGCAAACTTTCGCTTCTCCACTGTCATCAACTCAGTATCATGCATCGTACCGCGTCATGGCAAGCGAACGTATGTTTGATGACTCTATTATTATTGAAGACTATTTCGCTTCGCCTTTAAAATCAGGGCATGAAAACCCAACAACAACAACGGAGAATATTAACCTTGTTTGTCTCGGCAACGAATTCTCTTGGGAGGGAACCTTGGACGGATTGAAGGCATTTATACAAAATGACTTAGAGCTTGAAGGAAATTGGTCATCGCCCGGCGGCGACGTGAAAGTTTATACAGGTCCTAAATACACCATAAATGGCATGGAAGATCTAAAAAGAAGCTTAGGATCGTTCGCGATGATAGTGACCAAAACTTACGTAAGAAATTAAAGGACCAATCCGTTAAAACTTATAAAGAGAAACCGTATGACGAGCCACAAAGACAACCCGAAAGAAATATGGCGGCGACGAAAAGTAAAAAGCTAGATGATTCGTCAAGAGATACCTGTCTTGAGCTATCTTCCCACATCATGAGATAGCGAGAGGGGGGAAAGAATGTGATTAAAGCGAGGCCATCTGATGAAAACGGACATAAAACCTGTGATTTTCAGTGTTGTTGTAGGGAGCTTGCAGATGAAGTCAAGCGTATCGAAGGAGACATAAAATTACTTAAGAATGGAGTGAAAACTCACGAGGCGAACGAAACACTACAATGTTGTATGGGCGCTTGTAAGAACGAAGAGACTCGTCTGAGAGATTACCTAGAGGCAGCAAATGCCACCATAAAAGACCTAACGCCAAAAGTCCAGAATCTCGAAAGCGAAAAGTCCAGCTTATTAACAACAATTATAATAATTCAGGAAGATAATTCCCAACGGACGAATAATATGCATACTGAGAAAGATCCCCATAAAAATGCGTGGGTTGAAGTGAAAAATAATAAGAAAAAGAAACATAAACAAAATGCGAAGCAGAAAGAGCAACAAAATGAACCGCCAATAAGATCTGATGCTGAGAAATTAGTTGCTAAAACAAACGTAGTATGCGGCAAGAAACCCGAAGCGCACCACCAAAGACAGCTGGACCAAGCCATCAGACCAAAAATGATGAGAACCTCGACCTTGAGGGAAGCCATCCAGGCACTAAGCCAACAAGAGTAATAGTGGCGGGTGACTCCATGGTTAAACATGTCAACGGTTATAAGATGTCTAAGAAAAGCACAAAAATTCAAGTATCTGCCTTCCCCGGAAGTACCACGTTAGATATGACAGATTATATAAAACCGATATTATTATTATCCATGTCGGCACAAATTGCCTAAAATGTCGTGAAAACTCGGAGCGCTGTGCAGAAGAGATTATTAAATTTGGCGAATCAGTAAAAAACTCCATATCAGAGACGGAGGTGGCAATCTGGAGCTTAATAACACGATCTGATGACGAGTTCCTAACACGCAAAGTCAGCGATGTTAATGAAGTCCTCAAACAAACCTGCATTCAGAAACATTGGAAATATATCGATCACACGAACATTACACCCGAGGATTTAAACCAAAGCAGAATCCATCTAAATAAAGTGGGAACAATCAAGATGGCACGCAATTTTACTGACTTTATTTATAATAGGAAACATTAGGACAACGCCGTGTGGGAGCCTGTAGCTAATACTGAAATACAGCCAAGTATAAATTACCAATCGTCGATAACTTTGGGTGAGTCAAACGAATCAAATTATCCAAATATCTCATTATATAATTTAGAAAAAATACCATTTCATCGGGGTATGTCTATGGCATGTTTGAATATAAACAGTTTATTTGCCCATATAGATGAATTACGAGTATTTGTGAGTAATAATAAATAAATTTAGACATATTATATATTAATGAGACCAAACTTGATTCATCAATTAATGACAATGAAGTCCATATACCAAATTTTGAAATCATTCGAAGAGATCGACCTACAAATGGCCGTCACGGTGGCGGCATTTGCATTTACATTAGAAGTAATATTAATTAGAAAATACGACATAATCTACAATCTGAAACTCTCGAAAATCTACTTGTAGAAATTAAGAAACCACGATCTAAGTCTATCCTAGCATAGTTAATACCTTACTTGGCAATTAAAATCAAAGAAGTAAAGTAAACGAATTAAACTTAAATGGCATAAAATTAACAAGCCCTGATGAAATTTCTGAGCGCTTCAATACCTTCTTTTCAAATATTGGACCGAATTTAGCCGAAGAAATTAGTACACCAGGATGTCATTCTAAAGACTTCCTTGACAAAACTAATTCTGAATTTACTGCATTCCAGTCAGTTACTGTTAGTC